CCTTTGTTGACAAAGTAATGTCTCTGCTTTTTAGTATGCTATCTAGGTTGGTCATAACTTTCCTTCCCAGGAGTAAGCTTATTTTAATTTCATGGCTGCAGTCACCATTTGCAGTAATTTTGGAGCCCCCCCAAAATAAAGTCTGACACTGTTTCCACTGTTTCCCCATCTATCTGCCATGAAGTGATGGGACCAGATGCCATGATCTTAGTTTTCTGAATGTTGAGCTTTAAGCCAACTTTTTCACTCTCCTCTTTCACTTTCATCAAGAGGCTTTTTAGTTCCTCTTCACTTTCTGCCATAAGGGTGGTGTCATCTATCCCTTACCAGGGATCAAACTGGGGCCCCCTGCATTGTGAGTGCAGTCTTAGCCACTGGCCCACCAGGCAAGTTCCCAGCCAAGTGTTTTATAAGTTGCCTCTGGACACATCTTTTTCTCTTGCTCATGTTGAGGACCAGAATGTGTCATTTTGACACAAGGAATATTTTAAGGGCTTCCCTGGTGGCTCAGACGGTAAAGCATCTCCCTGTGATGCAGGAGACCTGGGTTTGATCCCTGGGTCAAGAAGATCCCCTGGAGAAGGAAATGGCAACCGACTCCAGTACTCTTGCCTGGAAAATTCCATGGAGGGAGGAGCCTGGTAAACAACAGTCCATGGGGTTGCAAAGAATCAGACACAACTGAGCAGCTTCCCTGGCTCACTGCATTGTGAATGCAGTCTTAGCCACTGGCCCACCAGGCAAGTTCCCTGCCAAGTATTTTATAAGTTGCCTCTGGACATGTCCTTTTCTCTTGCTCATGTTGAGGATGAGAACATGTCACTTTGGCATAAGGAATATTTTAAGTTGGAGGCAAATGAGAATCAATAGATGCGGACTAAGTTCCTGACTAAAAGCAGAAACTTCTGAAAAGGACTGCCACACATACATTCCCTTTCCTTGGTAATCTTTTTAAAAAAATTAATTTTTTCGCTGTAGTGGGTCTTTGATGCTGCTCGAGAGGGCTTTCTCTAGTTGCAGCGAGTGGGGGCTACTTTCTAGTTGTGGTACACGGGCTTCTCATTGTGGTGGTTTCTCTTGTTGTGGAACACAGGCTCCAGGCGTGCAGGCTTCAGTAGTTGTGGCTCATGGGCTCTAGAGTGCAAGCTCAGCAGTCGTGGCACATAGACTTAGTTGCTCCACAGCACATGGGATCTTCCCAGACCAGGGATTGAATGGGGGAAGCCCTCCTTGGGAAGTTTTGCAGCCATGAAGATGACAGAAAGTCAAGATGGAGCTGTACAAACCAACCTTATTCTGTTAGCAGCCCCACATATTAATATTTACCTTCCCATGGTTTGCCACTCCTGAAAGTCTGAAACTCTTTTCCTTTGTCACATCTGTACGAATTATTCTTGTTTTGTTAAAGATGCTACATTAGCCTACCTTCTAACCACCAATTTGAGTTACTCTTCATTAAGATTCCTCCCCAATGATTTGCCCTGTATGTGTTAATAAACTGCTGTTTTTCCCTTGTTCACATGGCTTTTGTCAGTCTAATTTTATAGGACCCCAGCTGGAAAACCAGGAGGGTAAAAGGAAAAAAGAACTTTCCTTCCCTACACTCATATTCTTTTATTAGAAAAAAAAAAATCATTCCTCTATCCCATCCCCATCAAAATTCTACCCATTATTAAAATGAAGTTCAGATCCACCTGTTTTCTAAAGCTTTCTTTATATTTACCTGAAGAGATCATGCCTGCAGAACTCTGGTCCATACCCTCAAGGGTGTGGCAATGAGTGGCCATTAATCAAGCGTTGTCTTAAGATGCCTATTTTATGGGTGTTTAGAATGTTTATTCAGTTCTCTGTTGATATTTTGCTCCTCCAACTGCCTGTAGACCCTTTAAAATGTAGGACTTGATTGTACACAATAAACCCTTAGGACCTTAGATCTAAATCTCAGAACCTCCCAAGGTTCTGACTTACCCTGTAAAATGCAGTGATTCACATTCAAAAGCAGTCTCTTATGTACAGTAATGAAAACAAAATTGTGAATGCCAATCCATTAGACCATGTGTTAGATACAAATCAAATCAATTATTTACTGAGCTTCTGTGCCCAGCATTCTAGTAGAGAATATGATAAAATATAAGCGACAAAAGTAGACTGTTGGTCAGCACTTGATCAATAACTGCCAGCTTCCAAAGTTTTGTCTTGTTTCCAACTTAGAACCAGAGAAAGGCAAATATGCATCCCTCCAACCACAAAGGATGCCTTGTTTCTGGTTAGCTTTCCTTGTTTCCCCATGCCAACCATCAGGGTATACCTGAAGCCTTTTCCTGTTTCTACTGGAAAGCTTTTACACTTCCCTGTCTTTGAATCTCTGCCAAATGCAAGGGATGAGGGCTGACTGCCTTGCTATAGCAAGCTCTGAATAAATGTCTTCTGCTTGTTCTCATTTGAGTGTTCATTTCCACACTTGGAATTCACAGAACTATTATAAGTGGTTTCAACTATTAACTGGAAGCTCCAAAGACTCATGACATAGCCATTTGTAATTTTACTAAGGTTTGAATTTAAAATGTAATCTTTGATACTGGTATACAGGAGTAAACTACTGACTGCCCCGTACACTCTCACATGATCTTACCTTCATATTCATGTTGTGACACATGTAATTACTGAGGAAATTATATTCTCTATATTTCAGGTAACTTTTTTTAATATATCAAACTTAATAACATGAAGCTTAAGGATCTACTACTGAGAGATTTCAAAAGGACTTAAAGAGTGATCAACTTTGAAGAGTAAAAAGGAAATTAATAAAAATGAAAAATCAATCTTTTAAGATTGTGAGACTACAAAAATAGTGGTACCAACAGAAATGAAGATATGAGGAAGAAAATAGACTTCAAAATGTCAAGAGACAGCGAGATGTTCCAGTTCATTCAAGACATTGACCACACTTCTGTGTTAGGCCCTAGTCTAGATGCTGAGGGTATAGTGGAGGATAATAAAGGCAAAAATTCTTGTTCTTGTGGAATTTATATTTGAAAATGTAGACAGCTGGGATTTTGTAGGGAGGGAAATGTAAAGTTCTTGCTTCTAAGAATTAATCACACAGAAATAAGAGTTAAAAGTTATACCAGAAATCAGCTTTCTAAGACTTCAAAGTTACTAAGGGCTCGGCCTTGAACAAGATATGTGGGGACGTGAGAAAGAAATGCCTGAGTTCAGGATGCCACAGCACAGAAATCACACCAGGGTCTGTTGATTCAGCAGTCCAGTGGAAATTTCCTCAGAGTGTGCTAGGAAAACATGTTAATGGAAAATTAACCTAGGACTAGAGGCACTGTCCTTTAGCAGATGCTCCGGAAATAAGTGGTAATAATGGTAATTTATATACATTTACAAAGTACTTACATTTGCATTATTTATTTAAGAAATAGGTAACAGTAGCAGCATTATTTCTAATGAAGAACTGAGGTAGAGAGAATAATAGTCCTTAAGATCACAGAATAAAGTATGGTCAGATTAAGAAGTACAACCTAATTTTCCTGATTCTTAGATCCTGGAAGGTATTCATAATGCTACTATCTTTCTTCAGTCTACTATGGGCCTGCCACGCTAAAGAAACAAGAATAAAGCATCTACTGGAATAATTTGATCAATGTCTGCAAACAAATTTCCCCTAAGTAATTTAAATGGTTAAGATTTTTCTATTCTGCATGATACCTTTCTGAATATTTATTAGAGGAGCTTAATGCTGATAGTTTATTAGAAATTGACTAGGTCAACACAAAAAATGTTCAATGGTATTGCTTTACTAGTTAATTGAACAAATTCAATATATTCAATCTCAATAAAACAGGAGAAATTCAGAAGGTAAGAAATGCACTACATTGTGATTACAGAAGAAAAAAACTTAATTTCTTCACACCACCTCATAAAGATGTTACAAACGCGCTGGTGGTAGAAAACTCCAGTGAAGAAAGTTTTAGTCTCATTTTCGTTTTATAAATACACATCAGGACGCTGGTCAAGGCTTTTTCTTATGGGATATTCAAAAGCTAATTTTAAAAATCTGTACAATTAATAATTATTAAAATTTGTGTTCTACCTGCATGAATTATCTAAACCCTTCACATTTGTATGCTCAAGTAATCCTAGCATATATACAAATTAATAGACGAGGCAGGTACTATTATTATGCCCACTTTTCAGTAATCTGAGGGCCAGGGAGGTGAAAAGTTTGCCCTTACTGACTGAACTTCTAATTCCCGAAGCTGGGATCTATTTTACATACAAGAGTTTCCAGAAAGGAAAAGTTCTCCCAGGCCATTCTGCTCTCCAGAAAGCAAAAGTTCTCTCAAGCCATTCTGCTCTTCCGTCCTCTTCTCGAGAAAGAACTCTGGAGAGTTTCCTGACCGAATTTTGTTAACAAATGCCGTTGTTAGCTCTTGTCTTGGTGCGGGGCCATCTGGAGGCTCAGTCACCCCCCTCGTCCTTTGCTCCACTTCAACCACCCACGCCTTCTTCCCTCTTCTCATCCCACCTCGCCCTGCTTCCCTTCTTCCCAGCTCCTCTCTGCCGTCCCAGCGGCGTCTTCTCGCTCCGTGCTCAGCGTCTGTCAATAGACAAACCACTGAGGTACACCCTCACGTGGCCTACTGTCGCGCAATCGTGACGAAACCCGTGCGCCACCGCCCTTGGGCTGGGGAGAGGGGCGGGGCCGCAAGCCGGGCTGGCAGGCTGGCCGGCCGGGGGCGGGGCCGGGGCCAGGGTCCAGCTCCGGGCCTCCGCGGCCATCGCTGCCTGCTCGGTTCCTTACCTTCGCCCGCCCCCAGCCCTCCCGAACCGAGTGGAGCCGGTTGGCGTCGGCAGCGTCGCCCCGAGGGGCACCGCGGCTTCAGGGGCTGTGCCTCCGCGCAGCGCAATGACAGGCGGCACGGAAGCTCTGTGAGTCCGAGGCCGCGGCCGTGGCCCTGGGCGGCGGCGGGTCCGGGCCGGGTCCGCTCATGGTGCCGCCACGACACCATCCCGGGGCAGGAAGGCCAGGTAAGTAGGCACAGGAGGGCCGCGAAATCACTCGGAACCGAAGCCGGGGGCCGAGGGCCCCGAACGGCCCCACTCTTCAGCCTCTGGTAGCAGCCGAGGTGCTGCTGCCGAAACGGCCAGTGTCTGGGGACCTATTGAGGGGGAGGCTGACAGGGGCGCGCTAGCCTCGTGTAGACTCTGGTAGTTGAGGAAGCTGCCGGCGCCGCCGCCTCAGGGCTTTAATCTTCTCCCGGGAGACGTCACTGCCTTAACTTTTTTTTTTTTTCCCTCCTCGGAAAAAGGAAGATTCCCTTGAACAGCTGTTTCCCCACCCACCTCGTGAGTGACTATTTCAGATCGAAATAGTAGACACAGTGACAGGGGTGGGTGGGGGAAGCGTGGAGGATCCTTCTCTTAAACATGTGAGGTGCTTGGAAACGTGCCCTCAATACTCAAAACAAATCACTTCCTCTCAAATCTGCCAAGTCCACTCAAGATCAGGGACGGAGACGACACTTAGAAACAGGCGCGTGTCTAGACACTGTCCCAGGGTTGGGTACCCCTGGAGAGAGTAGCAAGAGCGGCGAATCCAGTTCTGTCTTTATGAAACTATTATGAAGCTGTTCTTCACTAGTTAAGTATTCTTAAATATGCTGTTTGTTGAATTTTGCTTTTTTTCTTTGTACCGTGTTCTTTGAGGATAATTTGAAATGTGTAATAGATAATAAAAGTGTAGAGAAAAATGTCAGTTATATTTCACATACTTTGATATTCTTCCATTTGCTTTCATTTTAAAGGTGAAGAGTGAAAAAGAGCTTATGAGTCTTATTTTGAGTGGTCGATGTTTTCACAAGCATTATTCTGTGGTGATTTTTAGGTGCGCTGAGTTCTTCACCTCCGTTTAGACTCAGATCTGCTAAGTTTTCAGGCATTGTTCTTCAAGATCTCAGAAAGGCCTTTAAAATAAGGTAAATTCAACACTTAAAAAAAAACAAAACAAAAACTGTATGAGTTTGAACATTAGCTTAACAAATATCATACTTATGTTGTACTTATATTCTCATTTTTACATGGTTATTTTTTAAAGATCCTTTCTAATGTGATCTGTATTTTTCTAAAAACAGACTGCAAATGGTGTGTGTGTTTATCATGAACCGAATGAATTCCCAGAGCAGTGGTTTCACTCAGCGGAAGCGAATGGCTCTTGGGATTGTTATTCTCCTACTTGTTGATGTGATATGGGTTGCATCCTCAGAACTTACTTCGGTATGTAAGCTTTATCTAGGAATGATGCTGTGTTACTGAAATATCATTATATCTCTAGCCATTACTGTCTCTCATGCCCACTTAAGTGATATTTTGAATATTGTTAAATTTTCTTTTATAACGAACTAGCATGCATTGGAGAAGGAAATGGCAACCCACTCCAGTATTCTTGCCTGGAGAAACCCAGGGATGGAGGAGCTTGATGGGCTGCCTGCCTTCTATGGGGTCGCACAGAATCAGACACGACTGAGGCGACTTAGCAGCAGCAGCAGCACTATCAATTCAAGTTGAATCTGAACGGATACTGTTTTTATTGTTTCATACAGTTTTCTTAAATCCTTAAAAGGAGGTTATTTAGAAAATGACATACATGCCTATTTTCTTAATATTTGTGGGTTTTATGTGTTTTTTCCCCCCTAAATTTATTTCTTTTTTTATAAATACTATTTTCTAGTGGAACAACCATCCAGGAGTCACCATTTAGTAGAAAGTGAAAATATGTTTGGACAAATGAGCGAATGTGATCCGAGTTTTCGTGTATGATCACTGTTGTACACATACATGGGTTCATGGACATTTATGTGTTTGCTGCTTTAAACGTTCTTGTGAAGTATATGTATAGAGTGATTGCCTGCAATTAAATTTTATTTTGTTTTTATTGATGACCTATTGGTAGTAATGTGATATTTTGAGTTCACAAGCTAGTTTTTCTTTCGACTTGTATAGGTACTTTATTTACTTTGGTTAATGATCCCTGCAGAAATTTATTTTCAGAAATTACTGTGTTTCAACTTACATGTTGCTATCTTAAGGCAAAAGGAAGAGTAGCATTTATAAAATGAACTTAAATGTCAAAGGAAGCAGTGTGATACTGCTGGTCATCCCACGTGGTAGCTAAGTAAATAGTTGACATTGACATTGTATCTGATGAATAAATTTTTAGCCTTTTTGGAATTAGACTCTGGAATACATTAGGCCATTGATTTTTCACTCTTCTACAACCTTTTTTTCCTAAGATTAGCATTCTGTAGTTTAACTACAAAGAATTCTCTTTAATGCTGATAGGGAAATAAGCTTCTCTTTAAAATTTTAGTTTTAAATAGTTTGGTTTTTATTTATTGTCTTGGTTACTTCCTTTGACATCACAACATGAGGCTGGTAATGGCTATAAGTCTTACTTTGGATGATGCCAATTTGAGCACTGTAAGTTCCTCATCAGTCTTTACGTCGTTGTTGAATATCCATATGATTATTGTCCAGATAGAGTATTTAACTAGAGGTTATAAAATGTTGATTTTTCTAAGGGTCATTTCTTCTGCATTTATTAGTTGGAATTCTTTAAGGAGAACTTTTCTGCAACTACTATTTTGTTATCCTGAAACATGGTTCATATAGGGAAGTTTGGATAAATCTTTATTCCTATTCATTTTAAACTAATGTTACCTAGCAACTTCCAGAAATAATCATTGAACATTTTTTGTATATCATTATACATTTATGGATTTTTCTATGTTTGATGTGTTTTAAACATTTGTGGTTATTAATTACTGTATATAAAATTAGATAGCCAATGGAAATTTGCTGTATTTGCTATATGACACAGGGAGCTCAAATCCACTGCTCTGTGACAACTTAATGGATGGGATGGGGTGAGAGGTGGGAGGGAGGTTCAAGGGGGTGGTGACATACATACATACCTATGGCTGATTCATGTTGATATATGGCAGAAACCATTACAATATTGTACAGCAATTATCCTCCAATTAAAAATAAAGTTAAATTTAAAAAAGAAATAGAATTGTGTTTATTATCCCTTTGATGCTTAAACTGCCCTATCTTTGGCCAGTGGGAGCACCTTTAAATTGTCTCTAGTGTCCTTTCAGTAGGACGCCATCCCGTTTGCCTTCTGACACAAAATGCCCTAGACTTACCTCATACATTCCTGCCCCATGCTTGCCTTTGACCCTTTCTTCAAGGGTCAGTGTTTTTTTTGGTTTCAAAATGGCACAGATTATCATCTGGATTCTTGAGGTGCTCGTTTCTTCTGGGTTATTTTTTTTCTAGGGCTTTCAATGCACATAACTAGGATTTTTTTTTTTGGAAATAAAAATTATGAGTTCTTTCTGATAGTTTCAATTTAAACGATGATTACAAGGATATCGTATATAGTGCAGGGAACACCATGTAATAACTTATAATGGAAAAGAATTTGAAAAAGAATATATGTTTTATATATATATATATATACACACACACACACACATACACACAAAACTGAATCACTTTGCTATACATCTGAAACTAACACAGCATTGTAAATCAACTATACTTAAAAAAAAATCAAACAAAAATGATGATTGCAGGGTTTTTTTTTAAATAACTTCCTAATAACTTTAAACTTCATGCAGTTTTCTTATTAGCCCATACTTTCTCATTGGCTTTCTTTGTGCTATTTCCTCTGTTTGGGCTATTATTTAGCCTTTCAGCTATGGATCAAGAATAGCTTCTTTTGGAAAACTTCTATAACCTTCAAAATGATCTTTCTTTGGTACTCCCATGGTACCCTGAGCCCCGCTGTCATGGTATTAGCATATTAAACTGTGTATTTTTCATACTATATCTATCTATATATATAAAATCTGTATTTTTATATCTCCTCTCAGGAAAGCCTGTCTTATTTTGCCTTAGCCCCTAGTATAGATACTGTTGCATAGTAGGTTTTCAGTGTAAACTGAAAACTTTTTATTGCAAGTTGTTTAGAAATATTATGCTTTGCGTGTAAGAAAAAGACGATATTCAGAAATGAATTCAAAGTATTTTTGTAATCTCTTTTGATCTTTCCAAACAAACATTTAGAGTTAAAAATCATGTAATCATATTTTATTGGCAATGAGTAATAAGGTTTGTCTCATAGTTTGTGTAACTGTTTTCCTCCACAGTATGTTTTTACTCAGTACAACAAACCATTCTTCAGCACCTTTGCAAAAACGTCTATGTTTGTTCTGTACCTTTTGGGCTTTATAGTTTGGAAGCCATGGAGACAACAGTGTACAAGAGGATTTCGAGGAAAGCATGCTACTTTTGTAAGTTTTAAATTTCCAGTGTTTGTTGGAGAGGGGGTTTTCAATTTTTCAAAGTACTAGTTTTGTGAAAGATGTTAGATTTTAAGTTGTTCAGTTAAATGAGTGAAAATAGCATGATATAAGAAAAACCTACTTTTGTCCATACCTTAAAATTTTTTCTAATTAGCATGGCGTCAGAATATTTTGTGAGAGATCAAAGGTACAGAATCAGTTTCTTTCCCTTATCTCATGATATCCTCTGAGTTGTTAAATACTATTTAACTAGCCCAAATCAATTAATATGGAGAAAATAATGGAAGAGAAGGGATAAGAAGAGTATCTAGAGTTTTGGTCATTTGCAGACTAGATGAATATCATCTAATTAGTTGATTATAGAAGAAAAATAATTCAAAGTTTGTATGTTAAAGTGAAAATAACATTTCAAGGCATTTTTCAGATGTTTGGCTAATCAGATCATATTCTTTCATTAATGTGACATAACATGCTTGTTTTTAAGTGTTGGAAAAAATGACAGTTTATATAGTGATATATCTTCCCTGTAGTGGAAACTGAATTTTTGATAATGAAGAATATAAAACTATGTCTTACATTAATTCTTTTCTTTTTTTTTTTTTAGATTCTCTATCCCTCTCTTTCTTTTTAGAATTGTGGTAACATATATATAACATCAAATTTACCATTTTAATCATTTTTTTCTTTTACCCTATTTTTTATTGTACTCAAATATATATTACATAAAATTTACTGTTTTAACCATTTTAAAATGTGTAGTTCAGTGGAACAAAGTACATTTATTTTGCTGTGTAACCATTACCACTACCCATCTCCAGAACTTTTTTGTCACCCCAAGCAGAAACTCTGCCTGGATGCCCACTCTTTCCTTCCCCCAGCTCCTGGTAACCGTTGTTTTATTTTCTGTTTCCATTAATCCTTTTCTTTTATGTGTACTACTTTTTGTGAATTAAAACAATATTATTCCTTGTCTTACCTAATGAATGCATGCTTGAGAAATGAACTTTTTAAATTTTTATCGGGCTTTTCAGTAATTTTTGAGGTAAAGACTAGAAATTATACTCCTGTTTACAAAAACTTACCAAAATTATGAATGTGTATATTCCTTACTTTGTAAAAATTAAGATGTATACATTATAGAAATGCATGTTCATTGTAGTATTACATGTAGGAATATGTTACATGTGTATTAATACATGTACATTGTTGAAAATTTTAAAGATATAAAGGAACAAAACAAAGAAAATAATAAATTCTACCATTCAAGGAATAATCACTGACAGTATTTTGGCATATATACTGCCATTGTTTTACATGTGTGTATTTTTATTTCACTTTTTATAAAAATGAAATTGTACTGTTGCATCTTGCTTTTTGTGCTTAATAGTATATCACAAACAACTTTTTATGAAACTTAACATTGCTGTAACATTTTTCAGTGTTAAGTATTTTTTAATTGCAGTAGTAATAAAGTTCATTACTGGAGACAAATTATGTTAATAGGAAGAATAAGAATAATCTATTCGTACTCTTACCATTCTAAGACCACTATAAATATTTGATACTATCCGTAGACATCTATTTATATGTATATATTAAAAAAGATTTATAGCAGAAATAGGTTTGGTCCATATATATTGCTTTCTAACCTGACCTGATTTTTCATTTACTATATCATGAATACTTTTCCAGACTAATAAATAAGCATTTGTTATCATTGTTTAGTATTTTATTTAACTAACAATTTTTAGAGTGTTGTCACTTTCTCTTGTTGTAAATAAATAGGAATGCCTTTGTATTCATATGTAGTTATTTACTTAGGCTGGATTCCTAAAAGCATAATTGCTAGGTAAAACACTAGTGTCATTTTATAGCTTTTGATTCCTTTCACTAAATTAGCATCTATAGTAGTTTCACTTGATTCATGTCTGTTAGCAGTGTATAAGATTGGACTATTAGCAAAACCCTGATGATTTGCCAGTAGGATAGGTAGGCAGTGGTATCTTGTTTAATTTGCATGTTTCTGGTACATTTTTCATGTATTTGTTGCATAGTAGAATTCTGTGAGTTGTCCCTATCTTGTCCATTTTTCTACATTGACTCTTCCTTACTGATTTGAGCTGTGACTCACATCAGTTCTACTTTGTAACATGAGTTTAATTGAATTTTATGTCTCATAATTTGTAGTTTGCAGATGCTGAAGGGTACTTTGCTGCTTGCACAACAGATACAACTATGAATAGTTCTTTGGTAAGTGTTTCTTTTCTCGTCAGGGAGAGACTGGGTGGAGTTGACCATGGCGGGAAGGACCGAAATAACTGTGATAGCACCACAGCTATGTTAAGATAGTTGTATCTCCATGTTAGGTGCTCTCCACAAGAGTTGTAATTTGGTACTTTCTTTACTTTGAGATACCTGGGGCCTAGAAGCAAGCAATTCAGCCACCTCTAAGGGGAGAAGGGAAGAGGGAATTAGTTAAGGAGTGAAAAGAGAAAAGGAAGTCCCTTGTTTCTTACCAGCTTTGTCACATCATGTTTGTTATATTTTATCACTTAGAAGCAAATGCATTTACTTGAAACAGACTCTATAAGCAGATTGTATATTCATTTCACAAATTTTTAAGAGCACTTAATATGTTAAACACTTCTTCTAGACTCTTGAAATACAGCTTATGTTCCAATGTGTGTTTGAGGAAGGGAGAGAGACAGATAATAAAGAAGCTTACAAAGGAATTAACATAGTCACTCTATTTAAGCATTTATAATCTTGTTGGAGACAGTATGCAAAAATACTCTTCTTAGATCATTACTAAGGTATCTATTTAAAATGTATCATTCCAAGTGTGGTATTCTATTTGAGAAAGATTTTAAAGTTACTCTAAAATTTAATACCAGTTTATGAAGCACTAGCTTGGTGACCTTATTGACAGTACTGTTTCTTAGTTCATCTGGCTCTTAGAACTATGGTTGCTTGCAAGATAGGTTACTTGATGCAGTGTAGGGTTTGTTAAACTTAGAGAAAGTGTCATTTCTTTTCTCTCTGGGATCTTTAGTGCCAACAAGACTAATAATTGGGAATTCCCTGATGGTCGAGTGGTTGGGACCCTGTGCTTTTACTACCAGGGGTATGTGTTTGATCCATGATCAGGGAACTGAGATATCACAAAGCTGCACAGCGCAGCAAAAAACAAAACAAAAACAAATCACAAAATATTAACAGCAAAAAGAAAACTAGGGAGAGAAAACACAAGACTACTCTCAGTTGTCTCTGTCAGTGTAGAAGACAGAGTTGAAATGGGAACCTCCTCTTCTACTCCTGCTGTGCTGTGCTCAGTCGTGTCTGACCCTTAGGACCCCATGGACTGTAACCCTCCAGGCTCCTCTGTCCGTGGGATTTTCCAGGCAAGAATACTGGAGTGGATTGATCTTCCTGATGTACGGATCAAACCCCATCTCTTGCGTCTCTTGCATTGCAATATTACAGATGAATTGTTTACCACTGTGCCACCTGGGAAGCCCTACTCTTTTGCTAATTTTTGCTGTTATCTGTAAGATAGACATGTCAAATTGTTCTAGGCCAAATGCTGTAATGCAGCAAAGAGACTCTATTTCCAAATCCTGTTATCTCTTCATTTACTGAATATTTTTAATTGACAGAGTCTGTATCAGGAGTTAAATAAACATAAAAAATATTTTATGTTTATTTAAGAAACAGTGTGTTTGGAGAATTGTACCTTGAATACAGATCATCTGAGAAACATTTGCAAAAACAGTTGAGGCATTTAGAACCACTTAAAAATGTAGAAAGAAAGCTGAGCACTGAAGAATTGATGCTTTTCAACTGTGGTGTTGGAGAAGACTCTTGAGAGTCCCTTGGACTGCAAGGAGATCCAACCAGTCCATCCTAAAGGAGATCAGTCCTGGGTGTTCACTGGAAGGACTGATGTTGAAGCTGAAACTCCAATACTTTGGCCACCTGATGCGAAGAGCTGACTCATTTAAAAAGACCCTGATGCTGGGAAAGATTGAGGGCAGGAGGAGAAGGGGATGACAGAGGAAGAGATGGTTGGATGGCATCACCGACTCAATGGACATGGGTTTGGGTGGACTCCGGGAGTTGGTGATGGACAGGGAGGCCTGGCGTGCTGCGGTTCATGGGGTCGCAAGGAGTCGAACACGACTGAGCAACTGAACTGAACTGAACTGAAAAATGTACATCTTTAGAGTATGGTTAGACAGACCTGAATTTAATTCTGTTGTCTACCACTCAATTATTTTATATCTCAACTTCTAGAAAAGTTCCTTTAAAATTCCACTTTATAAAGTTGTTGTGAGGACTAATGAGAAATATAAGTTGACCTGCTCTGGACATGATAAGTAAGAACTGATAAGAGGAAGCTATTTTTCTATCTATTATTCTAGTTAAGATTTTTAGTAGTTTTTGGTGTTAGGTGACTCAAGTAGTAAGGGGAAACAATTTAGCAAATTTGTATACGTATTACACATGTGATTATCTGTTCATTGTCTGCCTTCCCCATTAGACTGACTGATCATTGAGAACAGAGATTTTGTTTCTATTCATTGTTATATCCCCAGGACCTAGAACAGTACCTGACACAGTAGGAGCTCAATATGTGCATCTTAAATGAATGAATGAAACGGAATGGGAGATAATCTTTTAGCTGAGAGAGGTCTGTTTTTATGACATTTAAATGTTAAATATCATAATGTGCCAGTGCTATCTGATTACATTTCTAAACTTTAAACTTGTTCTTCCTGTCTTTGTACCTGAGTGGATCATTTGAGTTTCTTTTTTAAGTCTTGCATTTTGTTAAAATTATGCTGTATAAGCATAGTGGTAAAAGGCTCTGTTTTGGGTGGTATCTGTGTCTATAGACCATTCACTTAAATTTAGCCAGTGTATATTATACTTGCTGTTTATATTTGTTTCTGTTTTTGCTGTATTCCAGAGTGAACCTCTGTATGTTCCTGTGAAATTTCATGATCTTCCAAGTGAAAAACCTGAGAACACAAACATTGATACTGAAAAAAGTAAGCAAAACTTAGAATTTCATGACTTAGAAATGAATAAAAATTTTAGCTTTTCAGTCAAGCCATTCCAAAACTTAGTGGTTCTGTGGGTTGCCCGAGATCACCTGGCAGGTCTTCTGTTCCATGTGGTATTGGCTCAACCTGTAGATGTCTGGTAGTTTGACTGGAAATTTTCATTAATTCAGTGGAAATAGCTTCCAAAATACCAGAAATCTCTATGGTGTTATTATAAACATAGATTTATTTTTTAATGAACAATATCTTCTCCAACAAGGCCATCAAAGATGTTGATAGTGAATTATGGGAGTTTTGCTAGCTGTGAACATGATAAGGAAAGCCAGCTTCAGTGTAAGGTGCAGAACTTATTCATGATATTCTCTTCCAAGTAGTGGAATTGTAGAAGAATGTTCTGCATGCTTGACTAGGAAAATAATTCTCATAAATTGGATATCTATGAGGAAAAATCCAAATAAGGTTTTACTATAAATGCCGGGCTGGATGAGTTACAAGCTGAAATCAAGATTTCCAGGAGAAATAATAACCTCTGATATGCAGATGATACCACTCTAATGTCAGAAAGCGAAGAGGAACTAAAGAGCTTCTTGATGAGGGTGAAAGAGGAGAGTGAAAAAGCTGGTTTAAAACTCAGTATAAAAAAGTTAAGATCATGGCATCTTGTCCCATCACTTCATGGCAAATAGAAGGGGAGAAGATGGAAGCAGTGACAGATTTCCTCTTCTTGAGCTCTAAAATCATTACTCGGTCCTAGTCAGAGTCAAAGGTCCTAGTCAAAGCTATGTTTTTTCTAGTAGTCATGTCTGGATGTGAGAGTTGGACCAAAAAGGAAGCTGAGTGTGAAAGAATTGAAGCTTTGGAACTGTGGTGTTGGAGAAGACTCTTGAGAATACTTTGGACTGCAAGGAGATCAAACCAGTTAATCCTAAAGGGAATCAGTCCTGAGTATTCATTGGAGGGACTGATGCTGAAGCTGAAACTCCAATACTTTGGCCACCTGATGCGAAGAACCAACTCATTGGAAAAGACCTTGATGCTGGGAAAGGTTGAAGGCAGAAGGAGAAGAGGGCCACAGAGGACGAGATAGTTGGATGGCATCAGCGATTCACTGGACAGGAACTTGAGCAAACTCTGGGAGATGGTGAGGGACAGGGAGGCCTGGCATGCTGCAGGCCATGGGGTTGCAAAGAGTTGGACATGACTTTGTGACCGAACAACATAAATGCTAAAGTAATATTCGTACTATATCCTGAATCAGGCAGATGTGTGTGTATACAGTTGAAACTTTATTTGAATATGGTCTCATTTAAAAATCTTCAAAATGGTTTATAAATGGAAACATTTTTCCTGCAAACTCTTTTGAATAAGCAGAGCTGTCCCATATAATAACGTAACTGGTTTTTTTGGACTGTTCAAATGTGATCGTAGATTTATTAAATTATATGCATTTATCATTATATTAAAACTTGTGACTTTTGTTGGGTGTGAGGGAAATGTTTAATGATTTTGTACTATACTTTTCCTTTTAAGTTCCCAAAAAGTCTCGTGTAAGATTTAGTAATATTATGGAGATTCGACAACTTCCATCAAGCCATGCATTGGAAGCTAAGTTGTCTCGAATGTCATATCCTACTGTGAAAGAACAAGAATCCTTACTCAAAACTGTGGGGAAACTTACAGCAACTCAAGTAGCAAAAATTAGCTTTTTTTTTTGCTTTGTGGTAAGTCTTCTGTTTATGTTTGGAATATGAATTTTAAGACAGTATACATACCAACAATATACTATGAAAGTGTAAGACAACTTAGGTTGCTTAATCATAGCTAAACTTAGTTACCTGTCATCAGAGGGAAATTAAGAGTATTAAAGTTAATAAATACTAGTCATATGTGAAAGAATTTAATAAATACTGTACATTGAAACTACTCATATATATTTAGAATTTGAATAATGAAGTTATTTTATACTATGATATATGTTAATACAAAGGCTAGTAAATATCCATGTAAGAGTTTGCATTGACTGCATTGATTTCTTCAAATAATTGCTTTTGTAGTTTTACTTTAAATTCGTATGTGTGCTGTCACTTCAGTTGTGTCTGATTCTTTGCGAACTTACAGACTGTAGCCCACCAGGCTCCTCTGTCCATGGGATTTTCCAGGCAAAGAATACTGGAGTGGGTTGCCATTTCCTTTTCTAGGGGGTCTTCCCAAGCCAGGGATCAAATCCGGGTCTCTTATGTCTGCTGCTTTGACAGGCGGGTTCTTTACCACTAGTGCCACCTGGGAAGCCATATAAATGTGGTCAAAATTTTACAAGCATTCATAGTAAACATTTTTTCAGAATATTTTATTATATTATAGCTTCTCAATTATTTTGGTATAGAAACCAAAAAATATGTTTAATGTTTCACATAAAAAATTCATTTAGCAAATAAAATATTATTTTAAGCTAATCTTGGGTTAGAAAACTTGTCTGAGTTAGTAAAAACTCTTGATTTACAGTTTAAAAATGAATTTTAATGCTCAACCTATTCCAAGGTTGTTTTGTATGAACCTTTAGGATTTAAATATATACTGAGCATTTAAAAACACTAGGTAGTGATGCAGTGCTAATGTCAATATTATTGGACTGATTATTAGATTTTTTTTTTTACATTACAGTTTTACTTCATATATACTGCATAGCCAATTTTTCACCATCCTCTGCCTGAATAACCTCTGTTTTAGTGATACCTTGATTAATATATTCAGGAATGCAAATCAAAGAATTTTGGGGAGTTGTAATATGGTAACTACACATGTAATAAGGTTAACTTAAGGGCTCATGTATTTAGATTATGCTATTATGATTTCTGTTACCTTGTTTTAACTGTGTAAGGCAAGACTGAAATTAATTAATTTTATCTCTTAACTTTTAAAGGAGACATGAGGTGAAATGCAAAGAATCTATATAGTAAAAGTTTAAAAGGGGGAGGGAGATGAGAACCAGATTAAACAGATAATGTCTGTATGGGGGCAAACCGACTGTGGAATGGGTTGATTATGTCAGGAACTTCCACTGAAAGGAAGCACGCAGTTTATCTCTAGACAGTTTGACAGAAGGGAAGAAGGAAACCTTTCTGATTTACACAGCTTGTTGGCTATTAAAAAGAAGTATTTCTCATAAAGTTAAGTTTTCCCAACTCAAAACTGAGAGAATAAATTTCATAGGCAGTAAGACATTGTTCTGTATAGCAGATTTACAGGTAGATATGCACTGATAATAACCTTTTAGAAAGATTGAAGTAAAATATACATATCATAAAGCTTACTATTTTAATTATTTTTAAGTATACAGCCCAGTGGCATCAAGGACATTCACACTGTTTTGCAAACATCTCCAGTGCCTATCAGGAGAACTTTTTTCATCTTGCAAAACTGAAACTCTATACCCATTAAATGATAACTCCCCTTTCCCACCTCCCTCAGCCACTGACAGCTACCATTTTATTTTTTGTCTCTATGAGCTTGACTGCTCTGAGTACCTCATTTAAATAGAATTATACAACATTTTCCCTCTTGTGACTGGCTTATTTCACTTCATAATTTAATAAATTATTCTTCAAAGTTTATCTTTGTAGCATGTGTCAGAATATTTTTCTTTTTAAGGCTATATAAAAGTCCATTCTGTGTATATACCACATTTTGTTTGTCTGTTCATCCATTGATGTACACTTGGATTGCTTCCACTTTTAATAGTCTTTTTTGAAAAATCAACCTTAAGTAAATTATTAATATAAGAGCAGGGAGCTATGTTAATCTTGAGTAAAGGCATTTCTGTAGGAAGTCAGAGTAGTATAGTCCAGGAATTCAAGTTTTTAGAAACCTGACTCAATAGAGTGATAACCTTAGTTGAGGTCTAGAGCAGTGCTATTCAGTAGAAATATAATGTGAGCCTCAAATATAGGTCATATATGTATTTTTAAATTTTCTAGTAGACACGTTAAAAAAAGAAAGTTATTTTTTTTCTTGTATCCTTATTTGAGAATTATTTGAAATTTTAGATGTTTTAGAATTTTGCCAACCATAAGTGAGTTTTTGTATTCCATCAACTCCGGGGCCCATAATGAGGCTTTGTGTTTAGTATGATGTCTTTCATCCTTGGCCTTTGAAACACTTTATGGGCCTTAATTAATTCTTTGTTTTTCTTTTACTAGAGTATAATTACTTTACAGCGTTGTGTTAGCTTCTGCTGTGCAGAGTGAGCCAGCTGTATGTACACACATACCCCTCTCTCTTGAGCCTCCCTCCCATCCGCTGCACCCCACTCCTCTGGGTCATCCAGAGCACTGAGCTGAGATCCCTGTGCTATGTGGCGGCTTCCCGCTAGCTGTCTGTTTTACACGTGTTAGAGTATGTACATCAGTCCTAACCTCCAGTTCGCCCCACCCTCCCTCCTGCTGCATCCACAGGTCCGCTCCAAGTCTGCGTCTCAGTTCCCACCCTGCACGTAGGTTCATTGGTACCGTGTTTCTAGATTCCGTATTATTCGTCAATATATGATATTTGGTTTTCTCTTTGTGAGTTAATTCACTCTGTGTGACAGACTCTAGGTCCATCCACACCACATAAGTAAAGTTAATTTTAATACTATATTTTTATTTAATCCACCGTATATAAAACACTTCAACATACTATTGATATAAGGATGATTGATGAGATAGTTTGCATTCTTTTTTTGTACTAAAATCTAAACATTTAAATTTTTAAATATTTCTTTTTCTATTTCATTTCAATTTCTGTTTTTATTTCAATTTCTAAACATTTCAATTCAAGCTAGCCACGTTTCATTTGCTTAATAGTGACATGTGGCTACTGGCTAGTGTATCGGACATTGCAGTTCAAAAGGAGTTAATAATTACTGTATTTGCCAACCCTCCTTTAATTCTTTTGTCTCATTAAGGCTTATGGTGTTACAGCTTTTTTTCTGTAAAATATAATTTAGGTCTCACAGGCTTTTACATTAGTTTTAAAATTAATTACTGCTCATGAAATAATGAAGTATTATATAAATTATTTGTGATAGCTCAATTATTAGTAAGTGGTTATCCTCAACTCTGAAATAATGAAGAGAAACATTTTAACAATAATTTTTACTGGAGGGTAATTGAGATGGTCTTCCTTTGTGATGAGGCTGCCTTGAGTTTGAGAGCCAGAGAATGGAGTTTGGGGAGAACTGGAGAATGGGAAGGTTTTTCTGGAAAGAGTTCATAGCTAATGAGTGGTTAGAATCTTTGAGTTTCTACCATCTAAATGGTCTGATTAAATTTCTTTATCTTGCATTAGCAGAGAGCAGTGAGATTGTTTGGAAAATGAGCACAGTATTTAAGTATTAAAGTGGTAAGGAAAGGTCAAGAAAGCTAATTATCACCTGATAAGCATTACCTATTCTTGCAGAAAATCTCCAAAAGATAATTAAAGGGCAGAGTCTTCTGCTTCTTGTTTAGTGCATCAACTGCAAGCAATTGTGGCTCCTGTTGCCACATATATTTGATATTGCCCATCATACCAGTTGCTAACCTCATTTTCTTATTTAGATAGTCACGTGAAATTAGGATGTCAGAAGACTACAGATGGAATCAGAGTCTCTGCTGTGCTTTCAGTCTGGCTTTAGCTTTGAGTACAGTGTAGACTGAATGGAGACTTCTAGGCTCTCAACCATCTGCTGCCTCTTAGCAGTGCACTAAGATCATCTGTCTATACTGCTTCTTTGAAATATAAATGCTGATAATCATACCATTCACTTAACTAAAAGTTCTGAAAGAGATCAGGAGATGTCCCTCCTTAACAGAGACAAGTCATTGTCCAGCAGAACATGATTATCCAGTCCTTCTGTTTAAGCAACAGAAAACAGGTAGACAAGCAGTTAATTTACTTAGACCAACAATCTGCTTCTTAATGTATGCTACATTAGGGACACTCATGCACATGAGTCCCAGGAGGCATATGCTAAAATGTTCTTGGTAGCATTGTTTGGTATAGTCAAAAAGTGTCCATCAACAGAAAATGGATAAGTTGTTGTAAATTGCATTAGAATATCTGATGGCAGTGAAAGTAACTTTATATGCACATACAAACATCAGGCTTCATCAAAAGAGGCCTTATTTCTTATTCTTTAAATCAAAATGGGCCCAGCATTGGGAATATAAGGATACTCTAGCCTTGATGAGCAAAAGGGAAGAAAGAAGGGGAAAAAATTCCCATAACTGGGAAACCTCCTTTATTATATCCAAAGTTATGAGAACTTTTGGTATTATGTCTCAAAACTGAGAATCAGAGAAACAATCACAGTTAGCCAGTAAATTCACAGTATTCTTGGACATTCTAAAATTTCCAAAGTGAATACAGCCTTTTGTCTGTATCAGTCTGGCTAGTTTCATCCCCTTAAGCATCACCTGTTTGATCGATTTCTCTTAAATTTGATTTAGATAAATTTAATACTATCAGTGCTTAGATAAATCAAATTTCAATGTTGATTTGATATTCAATTTATCCTAATATTTAAAGAAGCCTGAAAAGTGCTAATTTTTAACCAATTTGTTCATTTCTTAAGGAAAATTGGATAGCAAAGATTTTTGGTCTGATATAAGTGTTTGTCTTCTTTTTAGGCCTGTGATTTTTCAATGCAAAATAAAATTGAAACTTCTTATAATAGTATTTAGTGGGAGAAAAGAAGGAGGGGACTCTAAATTATAATGCCAAATACAAATAAGTAAATAATTAGGTTTCATTATTTTCTGTTTCTTCAGTGGTTTTTGGCAAATTTGTCATATCAAGAAGCACTTTCAGACACACAAGTTGCTATAGTTAATATTTTGTCCTCAACTTCTGGTAAGAAATTTGTCTTATCTGTATTATAACTCAAGGCCTATTTCTGATATATATGTGTACATATAAATATTTTTATCTTGTTATGAATTATTTCATTCTTTTTAACATATATTAATGTATTATGACTACTACTTAATCTTTAAGTTTAGTACCATATACTGTTTATATTCCTTCTAATACTTTACAGTATTTTCTATGCAACAAAAATACATTGTATATAAAGTTTTACAGGCTGAGCCTTTGTATTGTAGCTATCTTTCCTTTCACATATTCTTTCTAAGGATATTTTTTTTGACCCTTTGGCTAAATGTGGTTGCTTATTTCAGATCTATAATTTGCCCTATGAAAGGTGTTTTATTTTTAAAATTGAATCACCTTCCAGGTCTAGACGATAAAAAAAGGATTTTTGAGCTGTAAAAGTAACTTTAGCACACATGCTTGATTATGATGAGGTCAGAATGTTACTCTGAATGCTGAGTCTAACTCTCTTAGTAGTTTTAAAATAAATAGGACTGTACTTGATCTGTATTGGTGAGATAAACAGTTTAATTTGGAGACTGTTTCCATGTATGGTCTTTGAACATTTTAGCCTAGGTAGCTGTAGTCGTATTATTAGTCATTTAAAAATAACAAGATTTAAAAGTTAGGTAATAAGTAATTTACTTATTTAAGCAATCAAGTTGGTAATAAATAATTTTGACAGTATTTATTTAAGGGAATGTATCTTTTTAAAAATCTTTTTCTTTCCACAGGACTTTTTACCTTAATCCTTGCTGCAATGTTTCCAAGTAACAGTGGCGATAGATTCACTCTTTCTAAACTTCTAGCTGTAATCTTAAGGTAAGAATATAGTATAATAGCTAGTTTGTTCTTCTTAAAAATGCAGTGTTTAAAGCATTTCTCGTAGTGATAGAGGAGTGTTTATATTATAATATATAGGCAGAGAAAGATGAAGATAAAAGAAGGTTTTAAATGAACATCAGCTCTGCATCACATCCTTGGCTAGTTTTAGTTTTCAAAACCTTCCTAGGGTATGTAACTGAAGGGAGGATCTTAAAGGGGCTTTGGTTCCCATTCATGAGACTATGAACTTAACTAAGTATTGTACTGACATTCATGTTTAACTACATGTTATTCACCCTCATAACCTCCCAAGTTTCTGTTTCCTTTTCCTAAAGCAAGCTTCCCTTTTTGTTTAGTTTTTAGTTTTTACTTCTCCCATTTATAGAAATCTAACATGCAGTCTTCTCTGATTGTCTCAGCCTTAATCTTTTAGTTATTTTCTGTATAAACCATCTGGCAATTTTGTATTACTATTTGTGATAAAGTACATAAGTACCATTAGTAACTAATTTAAATCTTTTCTTTTTATTTAACTTTGTATTTATTTGTCTTGTCTTCCGTAGGAGATTGTAAACCATTGAAGGCTAAATCCTTGTTTCTGCTTCTTTTGTGTTATCAAAGGCCTAGCATAGCGCTTTGCTTACAGTCAGTACTCAAAAAAGATATATTGGTTTGATGAAACTCTTGTTTTTGTAAGAGAAAATCAGAAATCAGAGAAGGTACCAGAATAATTTACCAGAAAGATTAGTTTTTTGAGCTATCAGAGCTGGCTTTGAATTAGAGCTCTGTTTTCCCCTGGCCACTTCCCCTTAACTCTCTGAGAGGATTTCCTTGATGACAAAATGATGATAGTATCATCTAATTTACAGTTTTGTTTTAAAGTTTGGAAGGATCTATATAAAAGTGATTATTATAGAGACTGGTTCTTGACAGTCACATAAGTGGTGTTTCTCTCTTTTAGATACAAGGGCAAATTGACAGTGGTAGTTTTCATGGGCGGTCTGGTTGAGCCAGCTGATTTACCATTTAGACTTCATGGATGCTAGAAATTTATTCTTTTACATGACTGGCTCATGATTTAGCCAGATGAATCTTTACACTACAAAAATACAGTATATTTATATTAGGGAAGTAATGAGGTTTATCCAGCTTTGTTCACAATTCATGCCTATTTCTAACTTTTGTTTGCATTGTCTCAATAAAAGTAGAAAGATGCACAGAAATAGAAAGACAATATAAGGCTCCATGAGGACGGGAATCGCATCTCTCTTGTTCATTGCTTAACCCAAACTATTGCTCAATAAGCAACAGTCGAATGAAGAAATAACCTCTGATTTCTCTGCCTCCTTTTGGTGGTCTTATTTTATCCATTAAAATGATGGAATTATTTATTTAAATATTTAATAATAATTTTATTATTAATTTTGATTTTACCTGGTGGTTTAGTGATAAAGAACCCGCGTGCCAATGCAGGAGATGCAGGTTTGATCCCTGGGTTAGGAAGATCCCCTAGAGTAAGAAATGGCAACCCACTCCAGTATTCTTGCCTGGGAAATACCATGGACAGAGGAGCCTGGTGGGCTGCAACCCATGGGATTGTACAGTCAGACACAACTTAGTGACTAAACAACCATAATAATAGCAAGAGTTATTACTATTACTAGGTTTATATGGGTTTAGTACACATACATTAAAAAAAAAAAGATTGAAGGAGGGATGACAAATTGATTTTTACCTAATGAAAGGCAGAAGATAGCATAGCAAGTTAAGAACACTAGACTCTGGAAGTAGACTGCCTGCGTTTCAATCCTAGCTATGTGATTTTGGTCAAGTTACTTCATTTTTTTGTGCGTTAGTTTTCTCATGTGTAAAATGGGAATGGTAATGATAATAATACCTTTCTTATAAGGTAATGTCAGTCATTTTATGTGGATTAAATTAATACAACTACAGCACTTATACTGATATTATTCAGTATTAATTAAATCATGAATTCTTTGATGGTTTGACCTAAAGTTAAGATTAGTCTTTATTGCTTGTAAATAACTTTGATCTTTATGATTAGTCTTTTAAAGGAATTTATTGTTACTCATCAGTAATGACTGTTATTTCTCATAGCATTGGAGGTGTTGTGCTGGTAAATCTGTCAGGATCTGAAAAATCTCCTGGAAGAAACACAATAGGTAAGTATCTGACTCTGAATTCTTCCTGTTAGAATATACAGGAAAGACCTGTGCATATCATCGTGCGTGTGCACATACACACATGTGCATGTATATGCACACGTGTGCACACACATACACACAGGGTGGGCACTAATAAGGTTTTATTAAAAAAGTTTTTCCTTTGGAAATAATGTAAGAAAATTAAAAAATAGAACACAAAACTCTCATATAACCTTCACTCAGATTCTCTTAACTGTTTATAACATACATAGCTACAGTACAGGTTTAAAAATCAGGAATTAACAGCTGTTACAGTCATTTTTATTTAGTTTGTAGGTTCTTTTCAAATTTCACCATTTTTTCCCACTAATGTTCTTTTTCTGGTCCAGGATCATTTGTTGCATTTAGATATCATGTCTCCTTGGTTTTCTTTAATTTGTGACTATCCCACTGTCATTTTTTATCCTTCATAACTTTAATATTTTTGGAGAATACTGTCCACTTTTTTTGTAGACTGTCCTTCAATTAATTTTTCTGGTATTTCTTTATGGTTAAACGTATATTGTGCATTTTTGATAAGAATACCATGGAAGTGATACTGTGTCCTGACAAATCCATCATATCAAGAAGGCTCATGATATGTATTTGTTCTGTTACTAATGACATTAATTCTAAAGTGGTGTCTGTCAGGTTGCTCTAGTGTAGCTCCTAGTTTTTCCCTGTGTAAGTAATCAGCATTTTGTTAGAGATATGGAGACTATACAGATATCCTGCCCATCATGCTTGCAGCCACTAATTTTGTCATTCACTTCTGATTTTTACCTGAAACAATTACTACTATGGTAAGCACTTACTTTTTGATCCATTGTTTAGATTTAGCAGAAGAATCCAGCTTCCTTGGTTTCCTTCTGTATACTTTTTTTAGATATTTAAAGTCCACTGAATAGAATAATGCTTTCTAAACTATTCCTGGATAGTGCCCAGGGAGCTGTGTCTCTTGAACTGTCTTAGCTCTTTCTCACCTAGAGTAGCTCTGTATGTTTAAAACAATGTATGTGTTTTGTGTGTGAGATTTTGTTGAAAGTCAATTTTGTTTGACTTTCCTTTATAGCACTAATAGATTTATTGAAACGTTGAACTTTTGGATAATTGATTTAAAGTATTGAATGTGGTCACTTGGCAAATAGCACCTTATTATAGGTGTTTTTAAAGGCTTACTTAAATGTTTTTGAGAGTGAGTTAATACATAAAAGAGAATCAATATTCATTATGCAGGAAGGAACTGCTAGTCATACATTATGTTAGATATTTTAGAACATTAAAAAGTATAAATTATGTGTTTGCAGTTGTCAAGAAGTTTTTTCTTTTAATTGATATATATGATTGACAAAATGAAACCCCTAGAGAATAAAATCATACTACATTCAGCTGTAGTATTAAATTGTCTAAAATAGAAGACAAGCAGGATGGCAGTTCAGTGGAGTAGAAAGAGGATGCTTGGTGACAGTGTGGGACTTTAAAAGAGTCTTGAAGATGGTGGTAGAATGTGTATTAAAATGATACATGGCAGAGGGGAGAACAATAGAAATAGCCTAGAGTGGGACGAAAACATTGTTAAGTTGGCTATATTAGGTTTCAAAATTGTTTATGTAGGGGAAGATAGGAAGTATGCACTTCAAAATTAAATACCAAAGTGTGGTATTATAACATGCATAACTGATTGGTTAAATCATCAAGGTGAATGATTTTGTATTTGTTGGTTTATACTTTAAAGTCCTTCCTGTATTCCTGGAGGACATGGATAAGGTGGGTTATACTTTATCTTTTCATATTTGAATAGCACTCATTTCTTGAAATAGGACCTGACTGTGTCAGATTTTAATTAAGTATGTGTTGAATGAGTTCATGAACAAATACTTTATTATATTGACTTTTACAGGTTCCATTTGGTCTCTTGTTGGAGCCATGCTCTATGCTGTTTATATTGTTATGATTAAGAGAAAAGTAGACAGAGAAGATAAGTTGGATATTCCAATGTTCTTTGGTAAGAATATGTTTAACTTGTTGAGGCTATGTACTCTGAATGATTAACTTAGGGTTTTGTTTTTGTTTTTTGGAGGGAATAGGGAAGACTCCCTTCCCACTCCCCCATGTAATTCTTTAAAACCGTTAGACTTTAAAGATTATGAAGTCCACTCTCAGTGTTTTTCTCTTGTCTTGGTTCTGCATAATTGTGGACCTGGAGGAAATGTTCACTCTCCCAATGTGAGGTAAAAGAAATTCTTCTAATGTACCTTTTTCAAATTAATATCTTTAACCTGTAAATCAGATATTTTCCTCATTGATATCACTGGTTATACTGTTATAAGCATGTGAGGGTTTACCTATTGTGTTATACATTTTGCCATTTTTGAATTGTTAGAAGCATAGGATTGGAGAAACTGCCCGAAAATGATGTCTAATACTAGGTTCTGTCTATGAGCTAATTTTTACTAAAAATTGTAGGTCATTTGTACTTTTAAGACTCAGACTCTTTTATGACATAGATTTTTAAATTACCCAGTTACAGTTTCTGGCATCAATTCTTAATTTTGGTAAATGGCTAATATAATTTATAAATTCTTATTTGCCTGAAATGAGCTCAGTAAAGAAGTCCGATATCTAGGATTACAAAAGAAGAGTACATTGACATGGTATGTTCCAATATCAATAGATAATGGAGCCTAGGGATGAGAATTCAAAGTACAGCTTACAGGAAACCAGGAGACCTGGACTCTAGCTGTTGTAACTTCATTTATCTCACACTCATCTGAAAATGAGGAGATTAGACTAGGTTAGTAGCTGATTTATGAAGGATCCTGAGAAGATTGGAAGGAAGTGGAGTTGCATGTGTGAGTTTGGTTCCCAGACTGCTCTGCTGCTTCTACTGAAGCAATTCTGCTTTGTTGTTTTTTTAGCATTATAAATTAATTTCTAGAAATGATTTTTCTACTAAAAGTTTGAATATCTGCACCTAGTGATTAACAAAAATAAAACCTTTGAAAACCCACCAGACTGGGTGATCACTCAAGTCCTTTTAAGTAGAGAATTCCTAAGTATACCTTAAATATGAAGATAATTTTAATGACATCTTATTTTGAAGTCATAGGAAAGTCCATCTGGAATGAATTGAAATGCTAATATTTTGCAGGTGTTTTTTTTTTTTTTTAAAGATTGGCAGCTTTGAAGGAAAATCGCTTCTTTACTTTTACTGGAGAGTATATGTAGACATGCCATGATATGTAAAGCGATATGAATTTGACCCGGGCTGTAGAATAGACAGAATTAGAGAAGAAGTAGTTAGAATTGGGATGTGGAAAGTTCTTTGGGCATCACGGTGTGAGCAGAGCATAGTAGGCAATAATGAGTAGATCCAGTGTGCTGGAGCATTCAGTTGAGCAAAGAGGAGAAGCGTATGAGGTGTATGAGACTCTGCAGAACTGGTGAAGTGATTTGGACCTTTCATCTCTGGATCCAAAGGTTGTCACTTCATGTGGAATTTCACAGGCTTCAAGGGAACAAGAAGAGATCTGCTTCTTGATAATGCCAAAGTGAAAGTGAAGTTGCTCAGTTGTGTCCGACTCTTTGCGACCCCGTGGACTATAGCCTACAAGGCTCCTCCATCCATGGGATTCTCCAGGCAAGAATACTGGAGTGGGTTGCCATTTCCTCCTCTAGGGGATCTTCCTGACCCAGGGATCGAACTCAGATCTCCTGCATCGCAGGCAGACACTTTACCCCAAAGTCTGGTGTTTTAGCTACAACGATTTTTTAATGTTATACAAGCCTTTTGTGTGTGTGTTGTTTATTTTTATCACTAGGTATCTTAAGTCGGTTTTCCTAGAAGCAGGATATGAGACAGTAATTTGGTGTGGGAGATTCATGGAAAGGGTGCTCTGCAGGAAAGACTGACAAGGGAGAGAAAGAAACAGACCAGAGAGGGGGCGAGAACCATGTGATCTCTCTGGTGCAGCTAAGGCTTGGCCAGCTTGTCATAGGTCCCTGGGCAGGGAGCATAGGGGAGCAGAGGCAGTCCTCAGAGTTGTCCTAGCCTAGAGCCGTTAGGGTTTGATTGCAGAGGGTGTGGAGTGGGGAGAGGGTGGGAAGACAGACTTGGTTGCTCGCTCTCCAAGACAGTCCTTCAGAGAAGGCAGTACTGTAAGTCTTAGTGGCAGATAGAATGGGCGTTCCAGCCCTATTACAGTTTAACTAGGCATCCTAAATACAAGTTTATTATTTAGCAGCAAATATATAAAATATATATCTACTGTAATTTAATTTTCTTTTAGGAAAGCTCTATAATTACCTTTGGATCTCACAGTGAAATTGTGATGTAAATTGTATAGAAAGTCCAATAAAAACTACTATAAAATTATAACATTTGTGTCTTTACATTTCCATGTGTGTAGTCATATATAAGCTCACATTTCTATATTTAAAATAATAGTTAGCATTTGTTGACTGTTTACTCATGCCATGTATTGTGTTATATTTTTGTCTAATCTTCCTAGTAACCTAATTAAATATTATTTTATACTTATAGATTGGAAAACCGAGGTTTGCAAGAGGTTAGCATGTTGCCTAAAGATTACAGTAGGAGTGAATGGTAGAGTGGGACTGGATCCCAGGGCAGTCAGACTGCAAAGCATGCACTTAGCCGCTAAATGGTATACCCTTCCTTTCTTTACACACAGTCCATGCTTAGTTAATACTTACATAGCTATTTGTGTGTGTATGTAATCTCACAGACCAGCTTATGAGCTCTAGGAAGGCAGGAAACAAGAATTTTATCTTCTTTTGGAACCTTCCTCCATTACCCCTAGCATAGCATGGGTGCTTTAAACATAAATAGAGATTGAATCAGAGAGTAAACAGTGTATGTAATTCCTCATAATAATTTACGCTGAGCACATGTGCACACACATATGCACAAGTTACTCCTTCTAGGTTCCAGGACACTATATTATCATAATCTAAGGTTGACAGCCAATCTTTTTGAATCACTGTAAATATTTTTTCTTCAGTAGTTGCTCTATGCAGTAGGGATAGTTGAACCTTGAAGACTCCGTGATCCCCAGTCACTTGATGAAGTTTTTGCTTGTGTTCATCTCTCCGCAGGACTTAACTTAAAAACAAAAGTAATAGAACTTTCAGTTAAGGAAACCTAATGAAGCTCACTGTGGGAAACCTAATGTTTTCTGATTGTAGAGCTGCAATTTTGAAAGATTGAAATAAATCACAGTTACTAACTTTTGTCTCTTTTATATGTGTTTAGGTTTTGTAGGTCTCTTTAATCTGCTGCTCTTATGGCCAGGTTTCTTTTTACTACATTATACTGGATTTGAGGACTTTGAGTTCCCCAATAAAGTAGTGTTAATGTGCATTGTCATTAATGGCCTTATTGGAACAGTGCTCTCAGAGTTCCTGTGGTTGTGGTATGTACTGTTTATTACCCCATGATTTGTTAGTTATGAATTTATTGACTTTTGGCTAGTTTAAGCATTTCTATTTTTTCTGTCTTCTGATGGCCCTTCCTATGCACTTTCTCACCTTATACACTTACAACTTAACACAGTAACTCTGTTAGAGCAGGAACTGTTTTTTTTTTTTTTAATTTTTGTGTTCCCATTGCATCGAGTAGTGGCTTGCATATAGAAGTTCATAAATCTTTGTTGAATGATTAGATGAATATGAATGACCTATATTTATAGACCTGCTGTATAAATTAAAGTGTTACGCAGATTAAAGGCATCATTTTCTAATGGACACTCACATTTAGGAGATGTGTATCCCAGGTATGCATACGTGAGTTCTAAGTTCTAAGAACTGCTTATTCAGGCGTCTTTGGAATGTCTGATTGTTCAGACTTTTGTTTTGTTTATTCTCAGGACTTTTCATATGAGTGAGGCAGATATGTAAACCCTAAGCTTTAGGGTTTGATTAATTTGAGATATTAACATACTTTGATGTAATATCAACTATGTTGATATGTGATAATAATCTTAAAATAGTTTGAAGACAATATCATATATAGTGTTTAAGAAAACCTTCAAATATAGAGCTTAACACTTAGTTCTATTTCCATCTAATAGAAACTTAGAAACACAAATTGTACTTAACCTCCTGAATGAATTTTATTACATACCATTTAAAACTACTGATTAGTTTTCCCTTACAAAAGACTGCAACAAAAACAGCCTTTTCCATGAAATCCTGCTTAATGCTCTGCCTGCACGTCTCTCCCTTCTCCAATTAAGGAAGTATCTCTTTCCTTGATGTCCTCCACTCTCACTCCCTTTTATGTAGTACTTAAAGGTTTAGTTTATGTTGTAGTAATTCATGTAATTGAGTTTTCCTGATAGCTCAGACAATAAAGAATCCGTCTGCAGTGCAGGAGACCCAAGTTCAGTTCCAGGGTCAGGAGGATCCCCTGCAGAAGCGAGTGGCTACCCAGTCCAGTATTCTTGCCTGGAGAATTCCAGAGACAAAGGAGCCTGGCAGGATACAGTCCGTGGGATTGCCAAGACTGAGCATGAGGTTGTTAGGCTGAGTAACACACACACACACACAATGTATGTAATTATCTTAAATTCCTTTGTTGATCTAAAACCCTTTGGTATCAAAAACTATTTCCTCATTTTCTACAAATTATTTTAGGTGCTCATTTTTTTTTTTAAACCAGAAGGACTTGCTTTTTTAATGTGTTAATATGTATCATATGTCTTGTTCTTTTATCCTGTCACTTCTTTTGTTACATCATTTCTCTTGTCTCTTTCCACTCTTGGTTCTGGGCTGATGAAACTACTTACTGGTGATGTTTTGAGGGTACTTGGTTGAGCCATAAGGAATTGTTGATCTTCAACCATTTTTGATGGCTGTTTGAGAGGGTTCAACTCAGTGAACCCTATGCTTTAAATGATTATGCACTCACTGTATTTTAATAGAAGTTTATATTGTGTACTAAGTTTAGTTTAAATTAGAAAATTTCAAAGCGAAGAGTTCTTACATATTTGAAAGAAATAATTTAAAAAAATTTTTGATATTAGACTAGAGAAAGGTTTATTATGGTTCATATTACATTAAGACTTATAGTAAACATGGACAATGCCACTTTCAAATATTAAAATACTCATTCCTTATTGAGAGCTTTATTTTAATAAATATATAGAATAGAGTTTCATTATGCCAGCAGATTTTAATGTAGGCTTTGAGAATGAATAAATACGAGTTGTTACATATGTATGGAGAAGGCAATGGCACCCCACTCCAGTACGCTTGCCTGGAAAATCCCATGGACAGAGGAGCCTGGTAGGCTGCAGTTCATGGGGTCGCTAAGACTCTAAGAGTCGGACATGACTGAGCAACTTCACTTTCATGGATTGGAGAAGGAAATGGCAACCCAAATGGCAACCCACTCCAGTGTTCTTGCCTGGAGAATCCCAGGGATGAGGGAGCCTGGTGGGCTGCCGTCTGTGGGGTCGCACAGAGTCGGACACGGCTGAAGTGACTTAGCAGCAGCAGCAGCAGTTACATATGTAAGCTCTCTTATGTGAGCATTCTAAGTTTGCACACTTGGAAAATTTTACTCTTAAATAATAAAATAACATGTTTTGAAGTATTCTTTTTTTTCCATTTATTTTTATTGGTTGGAGGCTAATTACTTTACAGTATTGTAGTGGTTTTTGCCATATATTGACATGAATCAGCCATGGATTTACATGTATTCCCCATCCTGATCCTCCCACCCACCTCCCTCCCCACCCCATCCCTCTGGGTCCTCCCAGTGCACCAGCCCTGAGCACTTGTCTCATGCATCCCACCTGGGCTGGTGATCTGTTTCACCCTTGATAATATACATGTTTCAATGCTGTTCTCTCAAAACATCCCAACCTCGCCTTCTCCCACATAGTCCAAAAGTCTGTTCTGTACATCTGTGTCTCTTTTTCTGTTTTGCATATAGGTTTACTGTTACCATCTTTCTAAATTCCATACATATGCGTAAGTGTACTGTATTGGTCTTTATCTTTCTGGCTTACTTCACTCTGTATAACGGGCTCCAGTTTCATTTATCTCATTAGAACTGATTCAAATGAACTCTTTTTAATGGCTGAATGATATTCCACAGTGTATATGTACCACAGCTTCCTTATCCATTCATCTGCTGATGGGCATCTATGAAGTATTCTTTTTTTTTTTTCATTTATTTTTATTAGTTGGAGGCTAATTACTTTACAGTATTGTAGTGGGTTTTGTCATACATTGACATGAACCAGCCATGGAGTTACATGTATTCCCTATCCCGATCCCCCCTCCCACCTCCCTCTCCACCCGATTCCTCTGGGTCTTCCCAGTGCGCCAGGCCCAAGCACTTGTCTCATGCATCCAACCTGGGCTGATGATCTGTTTCACTATAGATAATATACATGTTTCAATGCTGTTCTCTCGAAACATCCCACCCTCGCCTTCTCCCACAGAGTCCAAAAGTCTGTTCTGTACATCTGTGTCTCTTTTTCTGTTTTGCATATAGGGTTATCATTAAATTAAAAATGTACAAAATGGATTATAATGAAAAGATAATCTTTCCCTTCTACCCCAAATTTTCATTTCTTTTTCTCAAAGGCAACCACTGTTAATTTCTTAGCCTTCTACAATACAGAATTATCTGTACATACAGAAGTGTGTATCAATCTCTTGATCCTCCCCCCTCCAATTTATTTTTAACATGCAAAGTATCATTCTATACTTTTCTTTGTTCCCACAAATTGTTGTCTTGTAAATCCTTACATATCAGCCACTAGATTCATTTTTTAAAGCCTGTGTAGTATTATAATCTGTTATGCTCCAATCCATTATGTAACATAATGCATAGAACATAATGTGTTTTACCAGTTCCTTCTTGAGAGATGTTTTTGTTTGTAGTCTTTTGCTTTGAAAGTAATATGGTATTAAGCATCCTTATACATGTTTTTGCATATACACATAATTATTCCGTAGGATAAATACTGAAAAAACTGAATCAAACACATGGACTTCTGATTCTGATAGAGAGTTACAAAATATTCTCCACAGAAGGAACACAGCTGATGTTCCTAAGTGTGTATATGAATCTTTGTTGTTGAAAAAACTGGACACTCAAAGTCATATATTATGATCACAGCTACTTGGGCTGGACTTTTCAGAACTTCAAAAAAGTTTTATTTTTCAGATATACTTCTAAACTCAAGCACTTAAAAGTACTTTTAGTAACAACTCAGTAGCAGTAAGTTAATCTGTAATGAAACAAATTTTGTGTCCCTTAAATTCTAGGTGTTGTTGTAACTCAAAACAATTATAAGAAGCATATCTATATGTTTTATATAATTTTATATCTTAAAAATGATTAAATCACAAGTCATAATCTATGTGTATGATTTCTTTCTTTTTAGGAAGGCAAGATTATCATATGTTAACTATAAATAGACAACTAACTTTAGCATATATAATCATGTACTGAGTAGCATACTAAAGATTTAAAAGTGCAGTTGTAAATTTTTTTGGAAATTAGAGATGTGTACTTGTCACTCACTGTTTATTTAAAAAATTTTTTTCAAGTGCACCATTAACTCCATATCCTGTACTGCTAGTGTAGATGTGAGGTTATCCACCTAGTCCTTGATCTCAGCATTTCCTGAAGTGTACTAAATGGATAATAGATCAAATGAATTCAGCCATCAGCTAAATTGGGAAACCTGCTATAAATCAAATGGGTTTTTTAATACTTCATCTCAGACTCGGTCTGATATTGCTTTGCATTACGAATCTCTAAGAACAAATGTATTTTACAAACTCAGGACTTCCCTGGTGGTCCAGCAGTTAAGAATCTACCTTCCAATGCAGGCAATGCGGGTTTAGGATCCCTGGTCAGGGAACCAAGATCCCAAATGTTGTGGGGCAACTAACCTCACATGCTACTTCTCAAGAGCAGCCCACATGCTGCAACGAAGAGCCTTCGAGCCACAAAGAAAGATCCCACATGCCGCAGCTAAGACCTGACACAACCAAATAAATAAATAATTAAAAAAAAACAAACCCTCAGGGAATTCCCTGGGGATACAGTGGTTAGAACTCAGTGCTTTCACTGCCAGTCCAGGCCTTGGTTCTGGTCAGGGAACTAAGGTGCTGTAAGTTGTGCGGCCAAAAAAATGAAAAGACCAATAATAATTTTTTAAACCCAATATTTGATCCCCAAATACTCTTTTCACAGAGAAACTTATGAATTGTGGGCTATCCCTTGAATTCTGTTTATACATCAATAAGAACTAATTGTCCAGCCTCTGTTGAACACTTAAAGTGACATTATGAAGAGTCAGCCTCTTTTATTTCAGGACAATATTTTTAACCCTAACAGCTGGAATTTACTTACCTATAATTTCCATAGTTCTACAGTCCTAGCTATATATATTACAGCTTTATAATTAATTTTTATACACTCAATATCTATTCAATACAATGCTTTTCTTCATATTTATATTCAGTTATATAAAATTATATGCAGTTGATATGTCAGAATTTGATACTAACATTGATAACTCAATGTGAAAATAAAATGAAGAGCTTATGTTTTGGTTATATCAATTATTAGAAAAGTGAAAAACAGCAAGGAAATATCCTTGAAAAATACTCAGTTCTTTTTTTCTGATACTAAGCCAAACCAAAAGAGCAACAAACATCTAAAGACTAGTTAATTTTTAATGAGGGCAAGATATTTTTGCTTTAATGACAGACTCACCTGTTGGTTATCACTTTCTTACTGTATTACAAGTTATTGTCCTGAACTTTTATTATAGCTGTTTCCTTTGTTATCTAAGTATCATTATCATGAAACTAAGAATTTTTCTGACAGTTTTATAAAAAATGTTAACAAAATTTAAGTTATACATCCAAAGTTGAATATCATCTGTAAGCAGATTAAGAAAATAGTATAAAATCTTTTGAAATTTGTATATTTATATATTGGATTTTTAATATTTGAAGATGAATTTTAAGAATCATCCTAGTAACTTTATTTTTTATTGTTAGTCCATTCTAAGCTTTTATCCTGATCTCTCTTGCCTATATGGTAGGATAATTTTTATTTTTTAAGACTTTTTGGATGTGAACCATTTTTCAAATCTTTATTGGATTTGTTACAATATTGCTTCAGTTTTATGTTTCGGAGTTTTGGCCACAAGACATATGGGATTTTAGCTCCCCAACCAGAAATCAAATCTGCACCGCTTGCATTGGAAGGTGAAGTCTTACACTGGACCATCAGGGAAGTCCCCCTAGGATAGATAATTTTTGATCATTGTTTTTCATTGGTTCTTTTGTGGTTTTGGTATGGAAATGTACATTTTCTTTCTTTCTTTTATTTTTTTAGGGGCTGCTTTCTTACCTCATCATTGATAGGCACACTTGCACTAAGCCTTACAATACCTCTATCCATAATAGCTGACATGTGTATGCAAAAGGTAAGGTAAACTATTTATTAGATATTTTAAGTATATTATTAAATCAGAGCTAATAATGAAAGTTAAGGGATGTGACTAAATTATAAAGATGACCATGAATAATACTTGGTGCCTTCTCTTCCAATCTGTTTTAGTACACAGAGATATAAAAAGTACCAAAGAAATGGTCATCTTTGTAATTTAGTCACATTTAGTTTTTTATTTAAAAAATAATTCTTTGTTATTTAATTTTGTTTTCTGATTCAGTAGATTATTTATTTGCTGTGGTTAAGAATGGAAATCTCTGTAATTGAGAATTAATTATTCTACATATACCATGATTTTCAAAGTGTGAATATTATAAAATATATATAACACTAAAATCATGCATCATATAATATCCAGGCCTTTCCACATCTTCAGATCATAATCTTGAATATCAACTAAAATTAGTCAAACTAGGGAAATGATGCTTATCAGAGGATTTTGGTAGCTGCTGTGTAAATGTTCTTTACCATACTGATATTTTGAAAAATCAGGTTAATTTTGAAGGTTAATTTTATATTTGAATTTTTTAAGAAGACCTGTAATAGCGAATTTAATTTTAGTAAATGATACTGTAATTTGTTCAATACTTTAAGATGGAGGCAAAACAGAAGGGAAAATATATGTATATATAATTGATTAGAAAAACACACCAACAGTCATTTCTTGATTGCGCATCAGGTATTTAGTTAAATGAGTAGGCTGGGCCTTTGGTGGGAATTGAGGGCAGAAGATACATTCTGGAAAAAGTAGCAGGGTGTGTCCCAGAGCCGCAATAGAAACATGGTGGGAGTAACTTAACTTTCTTAGTTTTTTTTTATTCTAATAGTCAAGCATATTTATATATATCAATAGTTTCTGAAATTTTTGCATTCATTAACTTTATTTATTGTGCTTAAGATACATATTTTTTTAACTTATTGATATTTGGTATAATAGGAAGCATCCCTGATTGTATTCAGACTTACATTCATATATATTCAGAAATTAGACTTTTTTTTGTTTACTTGAGCAGTTTTCATTTGATAAATGGCTTCATTTCTTTAAAAAAATTTGTCCTCATAGTTGCTTGAAATCAAATTAGAAGTTTTTTATTATTTGGCAACATAAAAATAACTGCATTGTTAAAAGTGAACTTTGCCTGTAAAAGTCATCTAGAGTTTTATCTACTTTTATGAAGTTTGTTTTTTTTCAGTAGGATTTTTTTAGTTGAATAGTCATGATATCATTCTGTCATCTATATTTGCGTTTTTAACTCTCATTAGTCGTAAGTTTTTTTATGCTGTACTTTTTCTGTTCTTGAGTCATTTAAATTAATCATGGTTTTTCTGGATTATTAAATATCCTGCAAATATTCCAAGAATATGTTATACCAATAGTTTGATAACAGTGTGAAGGGTTTTTAGTACTGACTGCTGGGTGTTCTTAGGCTGACTCAGCCTGTGTGTATGTACCATATGAGAAGAATGTGCATGCTGAAATTTGTCAGTGGTTTTCCTTGGGTCTTCCTGGTGGCTCAGAGGTTAAAGCATCTGCCTGCAATGCAGGAGACCCAGGTTCGATTCCTGGAGAAGGATCCCCTGGAGAAGGAAACGGCAACCCACTCCAGTATTCTTGCCTGGAGAATCCCATGGACAGAGGAACCTGGTGGCCTACAGTCCACAGGGTCGCAAAGAGTCGGACACGACTGAGCGACCTAACTTTCCTTGTGTTATGCATTATGAGTCCTTTGTAAATAAATAATTATTTTCACAAAACTCCTTTACTCTGACTAAAGCTAATGTGAAATGAAATAGTATATGTTTCCCACAAGAGAGAGTCTTGCCTTTGATTGTAAAGCTCATTTCTTTAATACTTAGAAAGGGTAAACAGTTTTTCTTCCCTATTTTAAAGATAGGAGTTACTGTTTTCGTCATTATTTTGAAAGCAAACTACCAGTGTGTTGCAGCTGAGTCTCAATAATTAATCAGTGTAGGCTATTTTTGTCAATTGTTTTTGATCCTAAGTTGAATCTAGGTGGTAAAGGAAATAATTTTGTTTTTATAACTTTATGGGATCTCATTATTTTTAATTTTCTTGATGACCCAGGTAAAATGATGGTTTGGAGGGTCAGGATTAGCAATCCGAGAGCTCCTCACCACTGAGGCTTTACCTGTCTCCTTTGGCTCACATTTCCTATTAAAAGTATTTCTCTTGGTAGTCTTTATTTTACTTAGTCGTGATTTCCTTTGGAATCTTTTTCAAGCTATATTTCATCTGTAAATTGTTTGCCAAAGTTTCACTTAAGAGTTTCATCTGTTTTCAGTACTGTTGTAAGAAAAGACCCATACCATAACACAGCATCACAGCTATAGCATAACTTAGTTTTTTATAGATGGGAATTTTTAAAAAAATGACTTCAGAAACTAGAGGGGAAGAATCAACTTGAGAATAGTCAGTAAAGAACAAATGGGCAGTGTGATGTGTAAGACAGATGCTTAAAAATTTGTAATTCTGTTTCTGATGTACTCTGCCTAATAACTGAAAAGCATGCTTTCCTCTCTTTCCTTTAGGATATTTTCTAAGTAAGAGGTATTTTTGTTGGTAATTGAAGCAAGTGATTAGTATAAGTAAATCCTTATATTTAATAATAGCATTCTTAATATATTGTCAGTGCTTAGTATTATTTTCTTGGTGTTTTATTTGTCCAAGTTATCACAAATAGAAAAGTTGTGTTTAAGGGAAAATTGTCTTAATGATAATTGTGGGTTTTTTTTTTTTCTTTTTTCCTACCTCTTATTTTTAGGTGCAGTTTTCTTGGTTATTTTTTGCAGGCGCTATTCCTGTATTTTTTTCATTTTTTATTGCAACTCTCCTGTGCCATTACAATAATTGGGATCCTGTGATGGTGGGAATCAGAAGAATTTTTGCCTTCATATGCAGAAAACATCGAATTCAGAAGTAGGTTAAGTTCCAATATAAATTTTTCAAAATGTTTGCTAAGTAAGTTGGGAATCATACCATGCTGACCTAGCTTTTAGAGATTCTGTGAAGAATTTTTAAAAGATTATAATATTATATATACAATGCCAGTTAAAAGAATTTGTTCAGATCTATGGGTGATAGGATAATTTCTTCAAAACTGCTGTTTTAAAAAAAATGTTTTAATTCACAGGTGAAATCAAAGTGCTTGCAGTTTTGCTGTAACAAATTTAAATGTAGAAAACATTTATTGATGTGAACAAAATTCATAATAAAATATGGTAACATTGCCTCATTTTCTTTTTCATTTTTTTTTAAGAGAGAAAGCGTTTTATATTGTCTAAAACATTATATTACAGAATGTAAAGAACTTACATTCTGTAAAGAACTTGGGACAGTCTTGCTATAGTCTTAGGTCTGACCTCAGGCATTAGCCAGTGGAATAGATCATTTGTAAATGTTCCTTTCAGGTGTAAAGCTTTCCTAACTATTGTCTTTTTTTCTTTCTTTTTTTTTTTTGTAAGGGTTCCAGAAGACAGTGAACAGTGTGAGAGTCTCATTCCTATGCATGGTGTTTCTCAGGAGGATGGAGCTAGTTAGCTATAGTCCAGGTTTGTATGTTAGTGGACATTAGTACTGAATAAGGTTCTTACTCTTTTAAAAATTGTATTTATTTTTATTTTTGGCTGTGCTGGGTCTTCGTTGCTGTGCAGGCTTTTCTTTAGTTGTGAACGGGGTCTACTTGGTTGCAGTGCGCAGGCTTCTCGTCACGGTGGCTTCTCTTGTTGCAGAATAGGCTCTAGAGCACACAGGCTTCAGTAGTTGCAGCATCTGAGCTCATTAGTTGCAGCGCCTGAGCTCTCGAGCACAGTCTCAATAGTTGTGGCACACAGGCTTAGTTGCTCCACAGCTTGTGGGATCTTCCCAGATCAGCAGTCGAACTCGCGTCCCCTGCATTGACAGGCAGATTCTTTACCACCGAACCACTAGGGAAGCCCAGGTCCTTATTCTTGTATTGCTCAAATACAGAATCGATTTCCTATAATTAATTTCTTTGAGAGTTGATACAGCTTAGAGGCTGAGAAAGTCCAACTCTAGAGTCAGACTGCCTGGGATCCAGTTCCAGCCTTTGTGTGTACTAGCTGTGTGACCTTATGCCAGGTTCGTAACCTCACTGTGCCTCAGTTTTCTTCTCTGTGAAGTGGGGTTGCAGAAGAACCTCCCTCACAAAGTTGTTAGAAGTATTAAATACTTGGTAAGTTTAAAACACATGAAATATGGTACCTGACCCAAATAAGTGATTCCCAAGCATATCCAGTCCTTTCTCTATGCATGTGTGTGTTTACTGTAACTAGCATGATACATCCAGCATATCCTGGTTCTCTGACTATGCTTTTTCACTTAACATTTGTTAATATGATAATGTTCGAGAACATTTTTTTTTTAAATTTTAAGAAATAGTATCTTTTATATTTCTTACATGACAGAAAGAGTTTTATTGTGTTTTGGCTGCTGTGTCTTCACTGCTATGTGTGGGCTTTCTCTAGTCGCCGCAAGTGGGGGCTACTCTCTAGTTGCAATACATGGGCTTCTTGTTGTGGTGGCTTCTTTTGTTATGGAGCATAGACTCTCGGGCCTGCAGCTTTAGTAGTTGTGACACATGGGCTTAGTTGTTCTATGGTGTGTGGGATCTTCCGAGACCAGGGATCAAACCTGTGTCCCCTGCATTGGCGGGTGGATTCCTACCCACTGGACCACCAGGGAACCCCTGATTGGTCACTTTTTATTCTAGATTTTACTCCTAGGATGGCCATACATGCAACAGTGTGAAGAGTTAAGAGTTCTACAAGGCCTCTTGTTTAGTATAGCTGTCCCTGCCCTGCCTATACTGCTCCCATTTTTTTTCCCACCCTGAGGAGTCCCTTTAAACTCCTCATTGATTCTTTCGGTTTTTTCCTCTCCATCTAAGTACCATGCTTATACTTCTGTTTCTTGCTTTCTCAGTTTCAGGCATCTTCAGTTGATTTTCCCACTATGGCAGTATAAGATAGGTTACTTTCAGTTTCCCCCTCCTTTGCTTCCACTCCACTTGCCTGCCTTCCTTCCTCCTCATCATCCAGGATAGTTACCGTGTGGTTTGGATAGATGTGTTATCAGTGTTTACCAAGTTATGACCATATCAATGTTATTTTTCCTGAACCGTGTAGGATTGTGCCTGGCATTTAACCAGTCCAAGACCCTTTCTTCCTACCCCTTTTAGAGAATTAACCTCAGATCTCCTGGGATAGAGAAGAGGCACTTGACTAGCTGTGAAAAGTGAGGGGAGGGCATCTGAGTGTCTAATTGCCTTTTTCTATAAACTTTGTACCAATTTTAGTACATTTTTAGTTGTACAATTTTTTTGTTTTTTAGTTGTACATTTTTAGTTGAGGCTGAGCAGGCTGAGCAGGGACCTCAGATTGGAGAAGGCAATGGCAACCCACTCCAGTGTTCTTGCCTGGAGAATCCCATGGACAGAGGAGCCTGGTGGACTGCTGTCCATGGGGTCGCACAGAGTCAGACATGACCTCAGCGACTTAGCATGCATTTTTAGTTGTTTCTTTACCTCTCCCTACAGAGATACCTGGTTGTATTTCTTCATTGCTAACCAAGAATTAGCTGCTATATTCTTGTCTCTGTTCTTTGTCCATGTGGTTTAAACCTTTAAAAGAAAATCCCTTTATTGTCGTTTTCCTGAGGTTTTGGAGACAGTAGAATCTTTTGAATGCTTCAATTTATGCATTTTCCCTCCCTGGTATGCTCTGTATCATTTTCATACTCACGTTCATACCCACTCTCACCCAGAAATTTTTGGAAGTGAGAGTGGGATAAAGAGAAGATAGTGAAGACTAAAGAAGATAGACTACAATAGAGAAGAGTAAGGTAGGCTGGGTTAGAGGAGTCTTCGTCTCCACAGGGTTAATGATAGGATGTACTATGAGTAAAACTTATTTTGTGATCTTAAAATAGCATTACATGTCAGTGAACATGTAGAACTCACTTAACATCAGTTCTTAGTACTTACCTCAAGTTCTGGTATCCAGTTATTAAGTATATAGACTGTATTTGATATATATTTCAATGTTAAGATAATTTGCTTTTTAGAATATAAATTAGAAAATTAAAGCTGACAGCTGTAATCTAATGATGATTATGTGTTTATTTTTATTTTTAGCTTGGTGATGGAATAGTATACAGCGAAGAGACAATCTCTGGCAAGTTTTTATAGAAAAATGTTTCAGTGCCTAGTCTGAAAAATAACAGTTTCAGTTCTTTGGAACTCTAAAACATATTTTCCTCATATCTTTTGTCTTCATTTTCATAATGAAGTACTTTGCTATGTAGCTGTGTACATACCACTACAGTTATAGGAAGTTTCAGTCTACAGTCCATCTAAAGGACCAACCTGCCTTATACATCTCAAGGAATTCAATTGATAAAATAATTTGAACTAATCAAAGGATAAAATTTTAATGTTCTGGAGACTTTATTTTCACATATTATTTGTTAAATGCTGGACTATATTAGGAAAATGTTTTCAGAAATCATTTTAAGTATATAGATCAGTGTTTCTTACAGGTAAAATGCTCAAATAAGCTGCCTATAATAGGTATGAATTATATTTTTGAGTTTTGTAGAATATTACAAATTAACAAAACAAAAAATGTTTAATTTGTGCAACAGATATGTTCACACAAATTTGGTAGGACTTTAAAAAGAATCAATGTTTGACAGAAGATCTGTTTCATTTACACTGCATATACTGTATTATCCTTTCATAGCATTAGGTGCCTTGTACTTTAAATCTGTGACAAACCATGATGAATTTTTAAAGGGGAAGTATTACTGTAAAATGAAGAATTATGTATTTCTAAAGGCTGTAATGCTGTAAGTTTAATTGATAAAGCTCTGCTTATTTAGAGTTTTGAAGAAATATCCTCTCTTCAGTTAAACATTTTCATAATGGAATGATGTAAATTGAAGTGATAAAGTATTATTAAAATAAAATGTTTATATATATGTGTGTGTGTGTATTACAGATCTACCAATTGGTTTCTGTTTTTTTCATATATAAATATGCAAAATTGTACTAGAACTGGATGCCTCTTTTTAAAATAATTTTAGTTTTCCTAAATAAATTTTATGGTTAAAAACCAAAGAAGGAAGGCAAGAAGAAATTCTACTTTAAAAATTACAGTTGAACTTTTCCTCTACCAAGATTAAATTACTTATAAACTACTTCTGATTTAACTCTTAGACCCGTGTCCTCACTGTGCAGCTGCTCCTGGCCTTTACTCACTGTAGGCCTCAGAGGATGAATGTGTGTCCCAGGGTCCTGTCAGTCTTTTGGTTAATCAGAGCCCATTTCCTTCTCAGGTTTTGTGAGACTAGTTCATATCTCTTTAGAATTTCTTAAGAATTGAATTATGATTCAATTCAAAGAATTATGATTTTTAAGAATTCCCTTTGTGATGCTTAGCTTCAGTTTGTCTTATTCACAACCTTGAAATTGCTTTGGTGTTACTATAAGTCTAAAGTGAAGTTTAGCTTGTCCTGAGAACTATTATATTACATTAATTTAAGAGACTTGTTTCTTGCTAACATTAAATTTTAAAAATAGACATCTGTTCTCCTATTTGGTGCCACCAATAAATCTTATGCTGAAAATCATAATTGATTTTGTTAGCTTGACACAGGTTAAAGGCATGTAAAGAATGTGGACTTATAAGAAATTTTATCCTGGAGAGAACTACTGAAGTAACATTTAAGTTACTCAAAGACTAAGTTTGGTTGAAATTTATTATCTGTATACCTCTCTACTTTCTATTTTTGCTGCTTTGACAGTTTGCCGGTACCTCTTGGCAATTACAGGATGAAATAGTTGAAACAGTGATGGTGAAATTAAAACTTTAAATTACTCTCTAAATATGGTAGGAAAAGAAATTGAAGTCAGAAGTTTTCAGTTGTCCGTGTGCTGTGTGTTCATGCGCCACACAGATCATGTGTTGTCGCTCAGGATCCCAAGAAGTGGTAAACCTTGTTAATATATTGGAAACATCTTGAGAAGGTCTTCTTCCACTTGGCTGTTATGCTTTTTATCAATGAACAGCCTCTTTAGAAGGAAGCAGTGTTATTGCTTACCTGAAAGTATGAATTACTACTGCTTTGCAGTATTATCTTCTCTCCTAGTTATATTTATCTTAATGATTTTTATATTTGAATACTGTAACCATGGCAAATGAGCAGTTGAGGACTTCCTTCCTGCATCTTTGTAGTTGAGGGTTCATCTTCGTAAGAAATAATTATGGTAGATTACTTCCATGCTATGATTACCTAGAAATCTAGGTGTCAGGGCTCCAGGGTGACAGCAGTCACATTGTGGACCTTTGTAAATATTGGGAGAGGCTACACTGAAAGTATTTGCTAATGTCCTTCATCTCTGTTGGAACAGTGTTGGCCTGTGATTATATTTTTCTGAATCTAAAGACCAAAATAGAGATTTCTAATACCTTGTTTCAGTCCTCTACTTTTCTTCCCATACATAATTTAAATCCCATTAT